TTTAATGAAGTGAGACAGGACTGTACTGGAAGAGTATTGAGAGTGAGTGGCCTGGTATGGTTCAGGAGAGGGGTATGCTCACTTGTCCCTTTTCTTTCCTGGCATGCAGGGTTGCATGCTTGGATAAGGGTCTGGTATGGTTTTTAAAGGGGACCCCACGCCATTTTTTAAAAAAAATTTGGTGTGGGGTTCACCTCAAAATCTATACCAGACCTGAAGGAGCTGATATGGATTGTGAGGGGACCACCATGCTGTTTTTTTTTTAAACAGCACTTGTTTTGTTTACATTCTGCTGTCATGGTTGTTGCGGTGGCCGTCTGCTTCTTAATAACCAGCTATTATTCACAATGAATTTTGAGCCATCCAAAACAGAATAAAGACTTATCAAAACTTTTTGAATCCACCCGGTATAACAAGTATATGGAAAAAATTCCAAAGAAATTAATCCTACAAACAAACGACACAACAAATACAAATAAATAAAATATCTACCTTATAAATGCATCCAAAATGAAATAAAAATTATGTTTTTTCGGTGTGCACATGTTTAGATGCCAGACCAAAGTTACATTAGTAAGGAGGAAAAGTTGATGTCATAATGTAAAGAAACAAAGGACAGCCTAACTCTGTTATTTGGTGTCAATGCTTCCAAAAATATGTAACTGAAGCTTGTCTTAGTTTATCATTCAGATAACTCAAGAACCCTTAAAAAATAGCCAAGAGCTCTCTTCCTGATGTGTGAAAGAGTAACTCTTAGGCCTGGGTTACTCAGGCCATTTTCCAGGACTGGTTTTTCCATACAGAAATCCCAGAGATAGATACATATTACTTGGAGAAAAACATCCCATTAAATATTCTTTTGCTGCTTGTTAATGGTCCAGACCACTTGTCAGTCATGGACGACTTTCATATCAACGTCAAAGTAGTGCATCTTCCACCACAAGCTATGACTTTCAAAAAAATTATTTACATCACACTTTTCATCGGGCAGTAAAGGCAATTGATGAATCAGGAACAACCTCGCAACAATTTTGGAAAGACTGCAAACATCTACAAGTGCATAAACAATATTTATTTTGCCACCACCATGAATGGCTACAGAGCCTCGTCACAGCACCCCAGTATTCTGTAGTTCCTAACTCCAATTTTAAGAGCCCCCATAGTAGAGGCACATGTATTTAATAGACAGACCAAGAACAGATGGGCCTGTGGGAGCCCACCCCTCCCTAAAGGTACAGGAGCACACTGGACACCCAGCATGTACCACAATGGCAACTAAGGTTTCCAGTGCTCCCCCTCAACCAACAATTCAACAGTACAAAAAATGGCCACTGCCCCAGGCTATAACTGGCCTTCATCGAAAGGAGCACATGGAAGGGTAACATATGTCAAACAGCAAAAAAAGAAAAATTCCCAGCTCTAACTTGCCAGCCAGCTTGCAAACAAACAGAATTAACCTAACAGTATGTGTTAAAACAGGGGTTTAGTTAGCACACATTTGCAAATACATGCGTAAGCTACAGAGCCTAGTCATGGCACCCCAGTACTCTGTATTTCCTAACTTTCCAATTTGAAGAGCCCCCACAGTAGAGGCACATATATTTAATGGTTAGACCAAGGACAGATGTTCCACCTCCATGGCGCAATTGCATAAAATCAAGCAGCTAGGCATGTAGACTGCTTCTACAAACATTTGTGAAAGAATGGGTCGCTCTTAGGAGCTCAGTGAATTCAAGCATGGTACCTTGATAGGTTGCCACCTGTGCAGTATGCCCATCTGTGAAATTTCCTTGATACTAAATATTCCACAGTCACCTGTTAGTAGTATTATTACAAAGTGGAAGCAACTGGGAACAACAGCAACTCAGCCACAAAGTGGTAAGCCACGTAAAATGACAGAGTGGGGTCAGTGCATGCTGAAGCGTACAGTGCTCAGAAGTCACCAACTGTCTGCAGAGTCAATAGCTAAACACCTCCAAACATCATGTGTCCTTCAGATTAGCACTACAACAGTGCCTAGAGAGCTTCATGGAATGGCTTTCCATGGCCCAGCAGCTGCATCCAAGCCTTACATCACCAAGTGCAATGTGAGCATTGGATGCAGTTGTGTAAAGCACACCGCCACTGACATCTAGAGCAGTGGAGACATGTTCTCAGGAGTGACGAATTACACTTCTCTGTCTGGAAATCCGATGGACATGTTTGGGTTTGGCGGTTGCAAGAAGAATGGTGCTTGCCTGACTGCATTGTGTCAAGTGTAAAGTTTCGTGAAGGGGGGATTATGGTGTGGGGTTGTTTTGAAGGGAGCTCTTAAGGCGTAAGCATGCCAAGACATTTTGGACAATTTCATGTTCCCAACTTTGTAGAAACAGTTTGGGGATGGCCTTTTCCTGTTCCAACATGACTGCACACCAGTGGACAAAAAAAGGTCCATAAAGACATGGATGAGTGAGTTTGGGTTGGAGGAACTTGACTGGCCTGACCTCAACCAGATAGAACACCTTTGGGATGAATTAGAGCGGAGGCTGCAAGCCAGGCCTTCTCATCTGACATCAGTGCCTAACCTCACAAATGTGCTCCTGGAAGAATAGTTAAACAGTCCCATAGACACACTCCTAAACCTTGCGGACAGCCTTCCCAGAGGAGTTGAAGCTGTTATAGCTGCAAAGGGTGGGCCAACTCAATATTGAACCCTACGAACTAAGACTGGGACGCTATTAAAGTTCATGTGCATGTAAAAACAGGTGTCCCAATACCTTGGGCAATATTGTGTATATCCAAAGGTTATCAGGTATCAGGTTCAAAGATAAATATTCCTGATCATCCATGGATACTATTACAACAAAATACTTAAACATTTGAACGGTTCAGATTTGGTGAGCCTTAGTAAAGGGACCTGTAAGGGATCTATGGGCAAAAGGACAGACTTGTCCCAACTGATGTGGAAGTCGGAGAATGTACCAAAATGCTGAATTAAGCTCATCACCGCCTCCTTGTTTGGAACCTCTGCATAGTCTGAACAGTTGAGAGAGAATGTTATTGATTCCAAGTCTAGCTGTAGGGTTATGGTATACTGAATATAGAATACAGACTAGGAATATTGGAACCACTCCAAAGGACCATTCCACACTATCAAACGCTTTGTGAGTGTCTAGGGTTAGTTTCACTTTTTGTCCTGGGTTGAAAATAGAGAGTTGCATATTTACAGTGTCCTAATATTAGTGGATTTAGCCCTATAAAGCTGGATTAATTGTTGTGAATCAAATCTGAGATGCACCGTGAAAGCTTATTCAGTAGGGCTTTCACAAGTATTTTGATATCAGATTTAAGAAGGGAGATTGGCTGGTAGGACTTGGTAAAATGTATGTTTTATACAGATTAAAATGCAATAAAAAAAACTTTTAAAACTGCAAAACAATTTGCAACATGATGCTGTGAACTTGAATGTATTTTTGGCCCCAAGTAGAGGGAAAAAGGAAAACAGCTTTTTTTGGCTAAATTAAATACTTTTGCTTTTAACATAAAATGATATATCAACTAGAAAAGCTACAATTTCTGGGGAAATTGTGTGAAGTGTTCTTGCCTCCACCAGTATGAGGGAGTGGTGGCAGTTTAGAAATCATGTCCTGATTTTTCAGCTCACACTCTAGCTTTTGTCACTCTGCTCACACACCTGGGTCCCTATGGCAACTCACTCTACAGCAATGGCAGAGAAGAGCGGTTAAAAACAAACTGCTCCAACTTGTTCACTTCACTGGCGGTTGCCATATTCAAATGGTTTTAGTTTAAAAATTATAAATCTTACAATGAAGAGCTTTATATTGTAAGAATCACAAGACCCAGACCTACATTTTGATGCATAGTATGTCTCTGAAATATTAAAAATGAAGGCACAGTCACAGTTTAGAAATTGCCCTTTAAATTTGAGGTGGCTAGAGTGGAGTTTCAACGAATGTCAATGGGCGGCTTTCAGTTGCAAACAAATGGTCATATGGGGAAAACTATCAGGACTGTGGCTTAGCTGTGGACATTGTTAGTGGCAGCAGGGATAGCTGAACGTTTTGATATAAGATTCGTGTGGGTGGGCTTGAAAATGAGGGAGTGATGGCAGTTTAGAAATCATGTCCTGATTTTTCAGCTCACACTCTAGCTTTTGTCAGCTCCCACTCTAGTTTTGAACATTCCGCCATTCATTCCTATGGGACCAATTTCACCACAAAAACGCTGATATTTCATGAACCATTCGGGGAAATGTTCCACAAAGTAATAGCACACCAATCGGGAACAATCCGCACGTTTTGGTATATTACTGTCTTTGTAGTGTAAAAACTGTGGGAGGAGTTAGAGTGGTAAATTTGGCTATAATAATAAGAATATATATGTGAGATAACAGTAAGTGGTCATGCAAGAACACTTAACTACCAGAATTGTTAATTAAAACAAACAATCTTAAAGTGATTTCAAAGCTTAACTTTAAAAAAAATATAATAAACAATGTTATTGTACAGAGCTGCCCCGATCCTCCTCTTCTCAGGTCCCCGGCCGGTGCTTCTGGCTACTCCTCCTCCTTGGGGTACTACTATAAAAAGCCACTTCGTATTGTGGCATTACTGTGGGCTTGATCCTGAGCGATGCTGCCTGTGTCCATGGACACAGACAGCATGGCTCAGCCCTCCACTTGCTCCCTCATCATATTGACCAATGGCTCCCTCTGCTATTATTCTCTGCCCTGTGAGGAGAGAAAGAGAGGGAGAATGCTGCTGCTCCCAGACACAACTATGGAACAAGATCTGGTTTAGAAAAGCATAAGGGAGCTGGGGGTATCCTGGACACAGAAGGTTTTTTGCAGAGAATGTATTAACCTCCCTGGCGGTATTCCCGAGTGTAGCTCGGGGTAAAGTTTCAGTATCAAAAGCGGTAACCCTGAGCTACACACGGGCTTACCATGTGGCGTTGCTCAGGGATTCCCTGTAGCTCTTACCTTGTCCTTCTCTCCTGTGATGCGTCCCCTGCAGCATCCCCGGCCATCTCCTCTGGCTGATGCCGGCATCCGGCTTCCATGTTCTGGTCCCTGCGAGCATCGGGCCGTACGGGACGTACGGGGGCCGAAATTGGCGGCAAATTAAAAAAATTTTAGAAACTGTCATTTTCTAATAAACAAATTTAACATAGTAAAAAACATTACTGTATCAAAGCATTTCACATACATTTTGTCCCTAGTGCTTTGTCCTGTGCCCTGCCTGCATTTTGACTGTTCTTTCTGCCTGGAAACTTAGAAAAGTCCATGGCGTCCAAAAAGCGTCCCTTTAGGTCAAAAGCGGTTTTAGACCGGCTAGAGAACAGCGATAGTAAATCAGAACCACTTGCAGAATTGAGTGATAATGATTTGTGGGGAAATTCATCATCAGACACTGAAAACGATTTTGCGACTTTGCTCAGCGATGTGTAAACTTGGCGCTATATTTCAAATTTCAGTGTTTTTGGTTTGATTTATTATATTATTGAATTAAATGTATTATTATATTATTATTTTTATGATTATTTATTAAATTTTAATTTATGATTTTGTGTTTCAAGTTTTATCCTACCCGGAATGTTTACTAGACTCTTGTTCAGACAGATTTCAGTGAGTTATTCCTAAAAATTACAGTCCTACAATAAAAAAAAAACATATTTCCATGCAAAAAAATGTAATGCTTTCAGCACAGAAATATGGACATAATCATACTGCTAGGGAGGTTAAGATAAAAAAAGTAAGGCTTTAGAACCACTTTAAAACAGAGTTAGCAGCCTAACAGTTACTAAAAACAAATAAAGAAGACAAGTATTATTTGTTTTCCCCTTTATGGAACTGATCCAATAAAATTGGAAAAAATTAGTATATTGTTGGAGGTTTTGAATTAAATTCTGGAATATTTTTTCTATTAAATGTAAAACCTAACTGCCTGCTGTTGACAAGAGAGCAAGTTATTACTCTTTTCCTTTTTTTCGCTTTGAGCGAATCAACACCTGGGTTGAAAACATGCTGCACTGCAACTGGCCTTTACAAAAAGCACAGGTATTACACATGTAAAAAAAAAACACAAAATAACAGTCCCACCACTGCCTTACAAGTGCCACAATAATCAAAGTAGATGTTAGGACTATACAATGCCCCACCTTTTAAATGCTGCCCTGCATTTAGCATACAATGCAATATAAAACCTTTTTAAATGTTTTATTTGTGGGCACCTGCCTGTAAAGCTTTGGCTGCTCTGGGTATATCAGTGGCTAATGGGGCTAGCCGACATAAACTCTTTACCTCACTATTCAGTCCCATTTTCATTTCTTCATGTTTAGACAGATGAGCCAGAACTTTCTGGTCATGCAAATGAATAGAAAAAAAATTGGAAAAAGGTATTTACATTGTGATTCATGCTAAAATGAACTCAGGGCAATAGGAAGCAATGGGGAGGCAACATTTTAGAGCTGGGATGTTGTATAACCTTAACTTCTATTTTAACTATATAATATTTAATCTATGAGTGTAAATATAGGCAACAAGTCTGAAGTGTGACACCCTTTATTATGTAACTCATAATTTTAAAGATAATACTTGTCACTATATAATACACACTATATTTGTAGGATGTATGCTTGTAGGATGTTTTATAAATGCTTGTTGCAAACACTTTGTTTAGGTTCTTGGGGTACAACAAGCTTGTAAGGGGGCTTGTGATTGACTGACAGTTGATGCCAAAGCACATAAGCTCCCAACCCACTTCCTGGATAGGACAGGGACCCACCTGTTGGCAGTTGTTGCCTTAACCATTTTGTGCTCAACTCCTTGCCAGGGGCCTTCCTATGACATCCCCAGCTATTAGTCTTTATATTCAGAAGAAAGGAATATCCACTCAATAATAGTTTCTATTTTACCGATGATCTTTAAAGATGGCAGTGACAAATGCATCATTTACCGATGACATATAGTCTTAGCAATCAAATGTGATGGCAGCACATTGACAAGCCATCTTCACATGCCGTTTCAGAGACAGGACTGACTGCCCATTAGGCAATATGCATCTACTACAACTTCCTGCATGCCTTTAGGACCACTTTCTTTAGTTTCTTTACACTTTTCCCAGGACCTCCATGAAAATAGCATTCACAACAGAGAACATGTGACCTGGCCTAAAATGCCTTTTGCCTTTGTCTTAGCCTCTACCAACCATAAAGAGCCAGGACAACTACAGTTGGCTCTTCTGAGCATAGGGCTATCTCCCCCTGTCCTTCTGCCTTGTCCAGGGTCTCTGTGTTAGCAGTTACACTCTTTCCTGGTACCACACACTATTTTAGAACACATATGTGGGTTTGAGCCAATCCAAGTTCAGACCAAACTTTAGTTCATCAAGTGCCGACACAGCTTGTTAGTATTCTTTGCAGGCAGTTTGGCAAGTGAACAGGTGCTCTGGCCAGTTGTCTATGTCTGAGATTATGAGTAAGAATTCAACTAAAAAAGCAGCAATATTCTCTCTCCCAGTTCCCTGCAGTGTACAACAATGAATTATGGGAAAATATTATAAATTATTATTACACATAACAGGATATATTTGATTCATTAAAAACATGTTCAATAATTCAGTATGTAAAGTAATTTTACAAGTCTTACTCATCCACTGTATTTTTCATCAACAGGAGCATGAAGGCCAACTGCAGTGTTCACGTATAGACACACTGGTCAATATTAACATTGTTTTTTGTGGTTTCTTTGCTAATTTCTTTTTAAGTTCATGACTTATTTATATTCATCATCCAGAAATATTAAGGACATTTTGATAACACATTATTTTCAGAGTTTTGAAGTTTAAAAACCATATGTTTTGCAACATCTGTCTTGCACTTAACAATTGCATTATGACCTATTTTCCATATGGTATGCACGAACTTGGGTTATCTTCACAGGATTCATAGCATCTTGGGATTTCTTAACATTGCTTATGGTTCCAGCAAAAGAGCTTGAGTCTTTGGATAAATAATATTACACAAAACAATACAATGTAAGATGATTTCTAGTTTAAAGTAAAACATTAGTGGTTAGACTTCTTTCAGATCATCCTTTGCTTTCACTGGCAAGACTCAGTTCCACTTACAAATAGTACTTATCCTTGATTAGGGTTGGGTATGGATGTCAAGGAATATATTCTATGCAAAAAAAACTTTTTTTTGGTTCTTGCATAACCTTCATACCAGACCTCTCCAAGGGTTCCCCAAAATACATAGCAGACTCTTGGAGGGGTCTGTGTACTATCAGTGTGAGCCTTCCAATGAAATGTAATTTCTCTGTAATTTCAAATACTTTTTCCTTTGTAAATGTCAATTCCACAGAGCACTTTCTGCACATTAGGGATTAGGGCATCCCCTGAGGTTTGTTATTTAAAGGAAATGAGTGTTTTTTAATATTTCACCTTAAGCATTAAAAAAAAAAAATCACTGCTTCTGTCCAAAAGGAATTTCATTGTTTTCTTTATTTTGGTATATGATTTCCAAAGACAGTGCCCACTTCCATGCTATTTTTGAAACCTGCTTGCCTATTAGCTCAGATAGGCCTTTTTTTATTTTGACAGATTTGGCTTCCATTGATTTCAAAAGGGCAAGCATTTGGCATCCAAATATTTTGAAATTCCAGGGTTACATTACAGGTTTTTTGGTGGATTTAAAATTAAGACTATTTCTGAGGTTTATGTGTTATTTCCTATTTCCATTTTATTAGTGAGTGAGTAACAAGGGGTGCTATGTACCCCATAATCATTCATGTAGAGGGCAGAGCTAGATATTTTTTTTGTTTACAAACTTTTATTAGGCATAAATTGGTGGTAAAAGGAAAACACAGGAATACAGATATACCAAATAGGGTATTCCAATTAAAAAAAAAGAAGATGATCATTACATATGAATGCATATAATCAGGGTAAAAAAGTCAATACCAGGATATAAATGGAGAAGGCCAATATATATTATAGATATGTGATCCATATAATAAAGGATAGTGATGGAGAAGTTAACATTAAGTAGTTAGAAAAAGAGATTTGAGTGTTCAAACCATAGAACTATATAACGTGTTAAATATTTTTTCCTTATGGCAAATCGAATCTACTCTCATTTTTAATTGTGGAATGGGAGCTGAGGGGAACTTCCAATGTATAGCTATAAGCCAGTGTATGGAAACACAAATGGTAGGGACTAGTCTCATCTGAGGGATAGAAAGTCCTGGGATATTAGTGAAAATTAAACAATTACCTATGGTAATATGAATAGAAGTACCAGATATAGCTGTAGAGAAAGCTTCAAGTTTACACCAAATAGGAGAAGTTTTCTCACACTCCCAAAAAATATGGGTAAATGAACCTTGGGATTGACATCCTCTAAAACATTCTGGAGGCACTAATGGAAAGATAGAATGCAATTTTACAGGTGTAAAATACCATCTATTAAAAGGTTTAACAGCAGTTTCATGAATTGTGAGTGATCTTTACGAAGGTTCACAATGCATTCTTCCAAATCATCTATAGATAGAGTAAGGTTACAGTCTGTTTCCCATTTTTGCATATATAAAAGTTTAACATGAGGGTCCATATTCAGCAATCTGTTATAAAGCTCTGAGGTAAGACCTCTTCCCCTTGTTTTTTTTTAACAGATGCGTTCATAAAATGACGAGGATGTGCTAACTGCTATTTTAAAGTGAGTCATATAAAAGTGTCTGATTTGAAAAAAAAACTGAAGTGTTCAGTGTGGAGAATATGGTAGGAGGCTTGAAGAGAGGAGGATATGAATGTAGAATTTTCCAAAAAAGTTTACCAAAAAAATAGGCTATTGTTAATGCACCAAGTGAAAAGTGATGATTCTTGATATGCAGGAGGAAACGTTGGGTCCCCTAAGTAAGACTCTTGAGGTGGTGTTGTAGAACATAATAAACATTTTTGTTTGTATGTTTGCCAGAGTTTAAAATGATTGGAAAACTAAATTATTTAATGGTATAAGATTAAGTGGCAGACCCCTGTGGCCCATAATAATCCTGGAAAAAATGGAATCACTTTCAAATTTAACCCAAGGGACTTTCGATTTATTAATATGCCACTAGGCAATTTGTGAAAAGGGAGAATAGTAGAGCCAGAAATTAGGTAGACCTAACCCACCCTCGTATTGTGATTTATACAAAATCTTTTTAGAAAAATGGGGGTGGGAATGACCCATATAAAGTTATCCACTTCCATTTGAAATTTAGTGATATATTCTTTGGTCAATCTAATGAGAAGAGCTCTAAAAAGATACAACAATTAAGGAAGAATTGTCATTTTGATAGCTGTGACTCTTCTTAGAAACGAAATATGAACTCCAC